CCCCTGCGCCGGCCGAGGCGTAGCTGGCAAGCGGCAGAGATGGAGCAGGCCGACCACCAGCTGGCCCAGCTCAAGGGAGGTAAGGCACCCGCTGGAAAAGGGGGAAAAAATGGCGGACAAAAAAAATGGCGGACAGCCTTGCTTGGCGACCCCCGTGAAATGGTCGATCGACCCCAAATGGGGTCCCGACCCACAGGTTAAGAACCACTGCTCTAATGAGCCTGGAAGGAGAAGCACACCAACCTTCGTCTCCACAAACCAGTTTCTTCACTATGCAAGGGATCTCTATGTAGCCAAATTCTTTCAGCTGCCCCACTTGCCGAGCTGTGATGGGGTGCTCCCACATTAGGGTGTTCATGGCAGGGCAGAAGAGCAAGGGTTTGCTCACGTCCCAGGCGCGGATGACGCACGACTGCAGAGAAAGGCAAGGGGAAATGGCCACAGTTGAGGATCTTAACCACAAGGGGAATGCAGTCAGAACCTTGGACAGAAGCATGGAGGATGGGGCTGGTGAATTTCTAAAGTAAACCAAGAAGCAGAGAACTTGGAAGGTGCTCCAGGAATAGCCTAGCCGGGAGCCATTTGTAGTCTCAGGGGGTCTACAGGGGAGATGGGGGGGGAGGAGGGGAAGGGCAGTCAAATTGCACCATCATTCAAACAGCTCAATTTACATCCTGACATCAAAGACCAGGTAGACCAGGGGTCTTCAAACTTGGCCTTTTTATGACTTGTGGACTTCAACTCCCAGAATTCCTCAGCCAGCGAGAAATTCTGGGAGCTGTAGTCCACAAGTCATCAAAGGGCCAAGTTTGAAGACCTCTGTTCTAGGCTGTTTAGATCCTTTCCTTGCTTAACCTACCTACAAGGGGTGGTTGTGTGTGCAAAAAATCGTCCATGCAACCCATGGTTATTCCTAGAAGGACCAATAAAATCTCACTTGGTGGCAATCCAAAAATCTTATCAAAGTGCATCGCATTTAGGAAAGGTTGGGAAAAGATGATCTCTTGCTAATTTTGGGGGCT